TGTACTGGATTTGATTTATAATGATATTTGAGACCTTGGGCTTGTGTTATCTTCTACTAGTTTTCACTATTTTGTGATCTTTGTTGGAGATCATACTAGATACACTTGGTTTTATCCATTACGTCTTAAATATGATATTTATGCCATTTTTGAGAATTTTCGTGTGATGGTAGAATGTTTATTTTATTGTTCCATTAAATCGATTTGGTCTAATTTAGGGGGTGAATACTGTAAATTGAATTCTATTTTTTCCTCTCTTGGAATTGTGCATCGTCGGTCTTGTGTATACACTCATGAGCAGAATGGCCATGTGGAGCGTCAGCATTGACACATTGTTGAGAATGGTATTGCTCTCAAGGCTCATGGCTCTGTCCTATCTAAATATTGGGATTTTTCTTTTTAGGTAGCAGTGTATTGAATTAATCGTCTGTCCTTGGGTTTTTTTAGTCTTCATTATAATTGTTTCGATCACATCCTTCCTATTCTTTTCTTCGTGTGTTTTGTTGTTTGTGTTTTTTGTATCACCGTCCTTATATTAAATACAAATGTATTATAGGTCTAGAGTCTTTTTGTGAGTATCGTTGCATGGACCTAAATACGGGGCATATTTTTATTTGTCGCCCTGTTCATTTTGATGAAGGTGTCTTTCCTTTTGCGTAGTTCTCTTTTGTACATGTGCTGTGTTATGTTGATGTATGGCCATGGGGGGCTAGTCCCTTAGTTCCGACTGTGGTGCCTTCTGTGTAGTCTCATGTTGTTGAGTAGTCTGGTCCTCGGGTTGTTATCATTGTCGATGCTCTGTGGTGACTATCATGGCGTCAGGCCTCTGTTCCAATACCGCTACAGCAGACACATCCTACGGTGCTTCGACACATGAACATGGTGGCTACTCGTCAACCACATGCATTGGTGGTTTTGTTTGATTCTTTGGAGCCCACTTGTTATTCTCAGGCAGTTCGATTTCTAGAGTGGCGTGAGGCAGTGGACCAAGATTTTAATGCTCTTCTACATAATAACACGTGTCATTTGGTTCCTGAGCGGCTGGGCATGAATATCATTGGTTGTAAGTGGGTGTTTCGCGTCAAGCATAAGGCTGATGATTCTGTTGCGAGTTACGAGGCTTGCTTGGTGGCTAAATGGTTCAACCAAGTCACTGATGAGGACTTTTTTTGACACTTTCAGTCATTTGGTTAAGCCTACCACGATTCGGCTTTTGCTGTCACTTGGTGTATCCCGTGATTGGACTCTTCGCTAACTTGATGTTCATAATGCATTTTTAAACGGACACTTAGCTGAGACTATCTATATGCGTCAACCCCCTGACTATTTTGATCCAGTCTATCCAACGCATGTTAGTTTGTTGCAACGCTCATTGTATGGGTTGAAGCAGACTCCGTGTGCTTGGTTTAAGCGGCTATATGATTTTTTGCTTTCTGCTGGATTTAAATATTATAAAACTAATGTGTCTATTTTTTATTATGTGACTAGTGGATCTCAGGTTTCTTTTTTGTTGGTGTATGTAGACAACATCATTCTGATTGCTAGTGACTCCAGTTTGGTTTCCTCCTTTGTAGCTTGTCTGTCCTCAGTGTTTAAGATTCGTGATCTTGGTTCTCCCAGTTTCTTCCTTGGCATAGAGATAATAAGGCTGTGCAACAGACGAATTCGGACGGATCGGGTGGTCGGAGGTCCAATTCGAACGGATATCAAATTAGGCTTTTTAGCCCCAATTTGTTTAATTTTAAGTTGAAAACTGTCAAAAATTTGACTTTGTATTTCCGTCCTATGTCCGACTATCCGTTGGATTAATTGATTTTTATTAAGAAAATTTAAAATGTAAAATTTCATTTTTTTTTGTAATAAAACACTTAATTTTAGTCCAAACAATCAAACATTCAAATAACAAAATACTAAAAAGTGAATAATTAAACTTTAAATTATACAAAATTATAATATATGCATAATAGATAGTACTATAGTAGCATACTAAGTGCTAAACTACTAACATACATCAAAAGCAACATTTATACAAAATACAAGTACAAAATTACATCTTAATTACACCATTTCAGTGACTTTACAAAAGCACTGATTCAATCATTTCAGACTTTCAGTGAATTTACAAAAGCACAGATCCAAATTCTGAGATTCCATATTTCCACTATTCCAGAACCAAAAACTGAGAATGTGAAGCACTCAAGCTATCAAGTGTGAAGCAGTCAACTACTCAAGCATCCTAAGTCCTAATATGCTAATCAACTAATCGACATTTCAACTAAAACTCTATTCCTCTTCCTGAAGAAATTCAAAGTTAAGAAAGTTAATTAAACTTGTGAAAAGATATAATAAATAGTAACAAAACTTACAACAGATTAAGTGATTTAAATATCATGTTAGGATTGGGACAAAGGGTGCTCAGACTTTTTTTTTTTCCTTTACATATCATGTTAGGATTGGGAGCAAATTGCCCATGAGTTATGGATTGACCGCAATTCATGGCAACATACCAAACCCAATCCCTGAATCTCAGATTTCAGAGAACATGGTGGAAGCATCATCATTGCACTATTACAAGCATAAAAGAGAGAGCCAGAGAGAATGAGAGATATACTAGACACCTGTTACTTGTCTTACTTATTGGAATTTGCAAATTTATACTTACAGAGTTACATCCCTATTCATTCGGTGATACCTTAAACCTGAGGCAGTTCTTAGCCATTGAGGCACCAAACTTTCCAGCCAGGGAGTCATCAGGATTCAGGACCAATGGTTCCAGTTCCATACAACAGTACAGGCAGACAGGCAGTCAACTAGTCAAGCACAATATTAGTTGAAACAAATCAAAAGAAATTTAAAATGGAATAAGTCAAATAACATTACAGGTATTGTAGGAAGAGAAGAACCAACTCCACTTCCTCCAGTGCACAACTCTGCAAAAAAAAAAAAAAAAAAAAAAAAAAAAAAGAATATAAATCTTTAAAATGTAAAACTAATAAAAACATAAAGTTACAGTTTACACTTTACCTTTTTCAACTAAAAAGAGGTTGATTGGCCAACCTCAGCAAATCTTGTGCACAAACAAGTGCCTCAACAATTTTAGGAGTAAGAAAACTCCTAAATGCATCAAGAACTCTCCCACTTGTACTAAATGTTGATTCTAATGAAACTGTAGAAATGAAAACAGCAAGTATATCTCTTGCCATTTTAGACAACACAGGGAATCTTCAGCATTAACCATCTACCATCTCAAGAGGTCAAAGTCACCCTCCTCCTCTACAATTACCTCACTCAAATATACTTCCAACTTAGTTTTTTTTTTTTCCTAGCCAATTCTCTACTCCCCAATCTTTGTTTTTTTTTTAACTGAGATTTTAACAAAGATTGGGGCCTCCGAACAGAAACTAGATCATTTATAGAAACAGAAAGAGCAGAATGTTCAACAGGATCGGACTGGACAGGGAAACTAGCAACATAATCAGCATTCAATTCTTCAAGGCCATTCAAGACATTCTGAAACAAGGGCTTACCAACTTCATCACCATATAATTGATTAAACTGATATGGCATGTATTCAATTCTGTCCCTAGGGTCCAACATATTTCTATAAAAGATCAAAAAGTTCATCTTGTATGGATCACCCCAGTATCAAAAAGTTCATCTTGTATGGATCACCCCAGTATTTATCAAACTTAGCCTTCATATTCTTAGCCATAAGATTAACGGATTCAGATTCAGCTCCCACCAGATCTTTTAATATGCAAGATAAGTCAGAAACTTCAGAGAAGAATGTATTAGAAGTTATATACAAAGACCCTGAGATCCTAACAGTCATTTCATAAAATGATTTTAGAAATTTCACCAATCTAACTATTGTTTCCCAATCCCTGTCCCCAGGTATATTCCCTCTCCCACCCAAATCAGAAATAAATGAAGATTCATCATCTTCAAAAGCTTCAAACACTTTCTGATAGAGCAAAGCAGTATGCAACATCATATATGTTGAGTTCCACCTTGTAGGAACATCAAGAACCAATGCGTTTCTTGCTTCCACCCCAATTAAGTCAGCAAGGTCTCTAAATTTTTGGAGCCTAGCAGGGGAGTTTCTCATATACCTCACACAGTCCCTAACCTTCTTAACAGCCTCATCAGATTCCTTTAATCCATCTTGCGCCACCAAATTAAGGATGTGAGCAATGCATCGCATATGCAAATACTTACAACTTACAGCAGAAGAACCCCAAGACATAACCTATGATAGTATCATTGCTTGAAGCATTATCAACTGTCACTGAAAAAGCAGGCATCAACCCCCACTCTAGTAGGCAAGTTTCAAGTGCCTTTGCTATATATTTCCCCTTATGTGAAGTTATAGGGACAAAGGAAATTATTATTATTATTATTATTATTATTATTATTATTATTGCTTCCACCCACTCTCTATGAAATGTACAGTTATGCACATATAGTTCATCCTTTGTACAGAGGTCCAAGTATCAGTGGTGAAACTAACCCTTTGGCAGCTAGTCCTAAAGAAATTCCTCAAATTAACCCTCTCATTTGAATAAATTTTCAGAATATCCCCACTCATAGTCCATCTTGATGAAATTTTGAACCTAAGACAACAAACAAGAACAAATTTACTAAAACCTTGACCCTCAACAAACCTAACAGGTAGCTCATCAACAATAATCATTTCACAGAGAGCTCTCCTAATCAATTCTTAATCAAATACCCAGGTCCCAAAACCCCTTCAGAACCTCCAGACTCAGTTAAAGTAGAACTAGGGACAGAAGAGAATGTAAGAAGAGATTGCCTAGTATCCTTAGAGTGAGGATTCTTTAGGCAACTTAATATGTGATTTCTTAAAGAAGAAGTCTCATGTTTCTTGGACTCACATGCAAACAACATTGCACAGTATAAGCACTTGGCTTTCATGACAATGCCCCCGTTTTTTTTTTTACTTTTTCAAAGTGATCCCATACAGGAGATCTGGTTTCAACCTTTTTTTTTTTTTAGGAACAGATGGAGGCAATGGCTGCTGAGATGTATCTTTCTCTACAACTTCTGCTTCCACATCATGTTCCACATTTTGTATAGGAGGTTGACTTCCAGACCCACCAACACTTTCCATCTATAATGAAATAGTAGGAAAGTATTAGTAAATAGGAATCCCTCATTTTAGATACTAGGACAAATTTCAATTAATTGCACATTTCATCATGTATGCAGGATTGCACATAAATGATTTAAGGGTCACATATCCATAAACCTAATACTTGCACAATTTCGCACTTGCAAAAGTTGCACATTACAAAATACAAAGAAATCCATAATAAGACATTCAAGCTAAGTAGCATACATATACTTTATAATGCTCATCATTTATATGGATTTCACACACAGAGGCTAGGGCTTCCACTAAATCAGGGGAAATTAATTAACCCTTTAATCCTTTAAGGGATATAATCACAATACTTTCACAGTTGCTCATAATCAGCATACAACAACACAAATAGGGGTTTCCACAATCCACAGTAACACAAAATCAGGGATTCAATGACATGCAATTACAAACTGGATTCTGGAAAATACCAATCTGGAACACAATAGTATAATTTCCCAAAATCACAGTCAAGGGACATGCAAACTGAAAATTGGAAAATAACAAACTGGAACACAAGGTATAATTTCTCAAAATCATAGTCAAGACACAAGGGACATGCAAACTGGAAATTAGAAAATACCAAACTGGAACACAGTGGTATATATAATTTCTCAAAATCACAATCAAGGGACAAGGGACATGCAATCTTAAACTTCTAGAATATAATATAAAACCCTAGATTTGTATAATTTCAAATATATTTGTATATCACAGATTCACCGTATCATAGAATAACAAAAAAAGTAAAACTATAAACTAATAATCTATAATATTTGGGTTTAGAGATTACTTCGTTTCTCCAAAATAATCCTCCTAGAACAAAGGGCTTCGATTCCTAGCCAGCAAACTGCAATCCACCGGTCACCAGAATCCAAGACCATAGGTCAGGTCACCGTCTCTGCGTCTCCCTCTCACAACACCAGATTCAGGGACTACCGGAATAGGGCTTCCACCGAAGACTAATAGTTTCCACTGGTGACTAATAAGACTCAAAGACTGAGAGAAGGGTAGAAGAGAGAAAGAGAGAACTCAGACAAGTGAGAGAACTAAGAGTACTCAGAGTAGAGAGAAGAGAGAACGAGAGAGTTATCTAGAAGTCCTAAAGAGACAAAGAGGGTGAGTGCGCAAATGAACGAGAGACCTAGGGTTTCAGCTTCACGTCATAATATATACTACTCTCACACGATGTCGTATAACTAAGGGTATACCAACCCTTACCATAAACCAGATATTCGGACGGGTTTGGGTGGCAATTATACCCCCTACCCGATTTCCATTACCCAACTTCTACATTCCATCGGATCAGATTCTCCAACCTGGATACAGAGTTTTCAAAACAACTACAGTTCGGGTTTCGGGTGTTAGATAATAAATTGACTAACATAAACTAAAGTAACAAGTAACCTAACTCGTAGTAGCGAAAACTTCAGGATCATCTGAATATCCCTTGCCATAGTTGTTAGTGTTGCCATTGGGATGGTAAACCTGCAGAATACACATTAGTGTTTTGTCTACCATTTCTCTCCTGAATACCTGATGGTGCGTGTATTCTGAACACGGGAGTTGTAGGAGGACTATTTTACTTAGAAGCCTACATGCCATCAATATAGGCAGATATTCAGTTTAAGCTAAACTGAATATCCTCAGTTACCTAACAGATTAAGTCACCAATTGACTTAATCTCCTACTTGCACCACAACCACCCAATAATACAATATATTATAATATATTATATTTAGGGAAAATACTTACATTCTCCCACTTGGTGCAAGTACTGGCACAACCTTCATTAAAAAACAAAACACATGAACCATAGTAATACGTCCTCTATTGATCAAGTGATTAATATCTTCTATGATCACATGCATTTAAATTCCCTAACTTAGGTTCTTTATGAACAAACCCTACGTTTATTCTTAGTCCTTTAATAGATGTTTCTCAAAATATATTATGTGCACAACTGAAGGAAGAAACCATCAAAATTCACTGTATGATCTCTAAAATCATTGAAGCATACCTTAAGTAGAGATCTCTTAATGTTAGCATAATGCTAACTATATTCTATGACTTCTTTATAAGTTAACATAAGCACTACTTCTAACGGCTAAGGGCTTGGAGTTGACACGTTTGTCACTCCCACTCATTAAGATAGCCAAAAGATAGTCAAGTCACAGAAACATTCCAATAACTTAGACAACAAATCAAAAAAGTCTAAGTCCATAAATTTGAAATCTTAAACATACATCAACTTCCCAAATAAACTCAAGGTCCACCTCGAAATTAATTGAACATTACGAGTCTTACTTTTATGTCTTACAAAATTGTTTTGAGCCTTACAAACCAAAAATGGCCCGAGATCAATTTTAAAGAAACTAAAGACTATTAATCGCTAAAGAATTTATTAATTGGCAGTGCACCACAAGTTAAATGCTTTCGTTCTAATAAATTCATTAATATTGTTACAACATTTTCATAAATATGTTGTACAACCAAACGTTTAATGAAATGAACTTATGAATTATAAGAACAAAAAAAAAAACTAAATTAACACTTGTGGAAACTTTTGGACTTATTGCTAGACGTACAATTCAATTTGGAATTTATGAAAACAATTAAATCCATCAGCTTTAGTGGAGTATTTTAATGATCTGTTTCTAAATGATCACTCCCACTGATTAAGATATTCTTTAGCAAAATTAATGATATAACACTCATAATTGATTTGACCAACTAAATAATGAAGATATAATTCCCCACCATTAGTTGGGCATAGTAAATAATCAATATTGAGTTCCAATTATAGTCCAACTAAATGAATAATTAATGAGGACATGATTCTCTACCGTAGTTGGACATACTAAAATAATAAAATACGCCTTCCAAAACCAAGTTAGAATCTGGCTCAAAAGGATACATTTTATTATTGGAATCCAAAAGAGGTATATCATACCACGCAACTTACTATAGTTAGTCCAAATAACCAAGTAAGCTTCGTGAAAAATAATTAATAAAAGGTGTATCTAAATTTTGGGAAGTGACTAAATACATGTTTTGCCAATGCAAACCATGAAACTTAGAATTATAATTGAACTAAATTTATAAATTCTAAGAAAGTGAGATAAAATTATTATCTAATGGGTTGATGAATTTATTGACATAAAACTTGTCTGTGTGCTAAAGTTTTAATTCTATTAAATTCAATTAAACACTTATTATAGTATTTCATCTCAATTACTAAATAGCCAGAAGATGGAATCTAGTGACATAAAACTTGCCTGTGGGCTAAAGTTTTACTCCATAAGATCCAACATTTTATGATGAAACAATTATCAAATGAGTTGAAGAATCAAGTGACATAAAACTTGCCAGTGGGCTAAAGTTATAATTCAATTAGATTCATTACAACCATTATGACAAAAACTAAAGAGATCATGTTCCTTTTCTTAATCCTTGTGGGCAAATTAAGAAATATGATCTATAGTTTATATCATAAAATTAGCTTTATGATAGAGATGCGAATTATTCATAAAGTAATAAAATTCTTTATGCCTATCATCATTGATAAAACTACTAAACTACATTCCGATATATAATTACCTGTAGGCTAAATTATGATCATAGTTCAGTATTTCATCCTAATTAATTATACAAATATAACGAAATTGCCTGTGTGCTAAATTCCATCATATTACATACAATTAATCACAATTGATATGTCTAAAACTTTATGTGACCCTAACAACTCAATATATAATTTTAACTGATTAAGGATGCTGTGGCTACTCCCCAACTAATTAATTAATCTAGAAATTATAAGATCACTAGGCATTTATCATTGTCATCTTTATGTGATTTGAACTTTAGACAATTTTTAGTAAATAAAAGATGTTATGGTTACTCTTTAATTAATCTAGAAATTGTAATCCTGGCAAAAGGGGAATTTAAAGCCTAACAAACAAATTAAACCAACATCTGATAGACAATTATTAGGTATACTCCCAGGAAAGTTGGTCGAGACAAAGCTCGGTTAAATACCAACTCCTTAGACAGTAGCATCACAAGGGGACTAGTAGCAACAAGGCTTTTAAGCCAGGGCCATAGAACTAGTATTCCTCCCCAAGAAACTTCCCTAAGTCAATCTCATGTTTGAAGTAAAATCGTTTGGGAGATCTATAAAATTGTAGATTCACCTATGGATAAGCTTTAAATCAATGAACTAAATTAACGGACTAAACGTGTTTAAATTCAAGCACTACCGCAATTAATTTTATGCATAAAATTCAACTTAATAAGGAACTAAATCCATTCTCAAACTATGCTTTCTAAAGGCATAATAAATCGCATAATCTAAAATGAAATAGTATGCTTAGAACATATATGCATAAAATTAAATAATAAACTCATATGTTCTAAATAGATTGCACAACTGAAAACAATTTTAATATGAGAAATAACCTCAAAGTATACAATTAATATTCAAAACTAGTATGACTTCTAACAAAAAGAAATACAAAATTTGAATAATAATATAATAGATATATACTTTGAAAGGTTAAAAACTATAAGCCCACGTGAAAATGTTTTAATTGCATAAAATCAAATTTGTGAGAAACAGGCTGAATTCACAAATATCAAGCCATAGTATATGTTTTATTCGTAAATAAAAAATCTCCCAAATCGTAATTGCATTATTAAACTTAATATTATGCACTTAATGCGATTAAAAGCATAAAACAATCTAAAGAGTATGAAAAACACCAAATGTGTATTCAATTATTCATACTTAACTAAATGTGGGCAATGACATCTAAAATCATAATTCAAATACTAAATAAAGTATGTGATAGATGTACAATAATGATAGTCAATTGCCTAGAAAACATGTTTTTTTTCAAAATTCTGAAGTGATTCAAAAATCACTCTCCAAAACTCAATTAATAGTATCATTAATGGCATAAAATTACAAATAGACCAAAAAAGCAATAAATAGCCATTAATAATATTATTATGTTAATTTGGAGACTAAATATAGAAAAAAACAATAGTTAAAATTGTTAACCTTTAAATCATTTTTGGATATAATTTTAAAATTTAATAAAACTTAAGTCCGAAAATAAATGTCACATAAATCAATTTGGAAACAATGCATGACTTAATACCATAAAAATAATGTTGTCATTAATAAAAATATTAATAGTAATAATGATCATTATAATCAGTTAACATTTAATAATGACAAACATGGTCATACATATCATAATGTTTCCATTTTCTTAAAGATAAAATATGACTAGTTCAAAACAGTTAATAGTTATAACAGCTATAACAATAGTTACCAATAATAATAAACTGTAAACTGCAATTAATGATTTGTGTACCTTAGTGATGCAAACCACATCAATCCATAGCACTAACATCGATAGCAAAGAAAGCTTTCAAAATATCTCATCTTTGCGGAGAGTTTAGTTGACTCGTCGATGCTAATAACCTTAATGAATCGCTCAATGGTATGTAACAGTTTATTGGTAACACTCAATTACCATTATTAATAGTAATGAAAAAAAAATGAAGTGACATGGGTAATCTTACCAATGTACCAAATATAGTAGATTACCATGAATTAATAATTATTATGAAAGGTAATAAATGTGATTAGTCCCAAAACTTAATAACAGTAATTAATAATGCAAATTAGTAATAATTACAATAAATGCAAAACTGTAATTAAGGAATACCAAATATGTGACACCCCGTATTTTCCTAAAATAAATTATAGTCCCGATAGTAAATATTTTTCTTTAAAATATTTATATATCTATTTATTTTAAAACGGGCTCGGGTCTATCTAGTATTGTGAACCAGTGTTTTTATACCCAAATATCCTGAGCCCAAATCCTATATATAATAAAGCCATATGGTCTTGTGAAAATTAAATGGTGATAATCAACATTTAATTTTCACAAGACCATAATAATATTGTTAATTATAATAACAATAACAATAATAATAATAATTGCAATAATAATAATGATAATAATTTCCACTGACAGTTTCTAATATATATATATATATATATATATATATATATATTTATTTATTTATTTATTTATTTATTTATATTTTTATTTCTACTGGCAAATTATTGTGTGAACGATGGTCCACATAATTGTATGGATCATGAATATCAAATACATTTTTAATATATTAAAAATACATTATTTTTATATTGAAAGTACCTTACATACATATATAATGTACCCTTAGTATATTTAAAATATACTTTTTATTGCATGCAACCCCAAAGTTCATAAGTTTGAAATTAACATATGGCATAGCTAGGCGGCCTAATATTTAAGATTGTTGATGTGCATATTGAGGAATACGGAGATAAAGATGCGTTATTCGTGGATTCATCGGATACTATCCAACAACACTCTCCAATTTAATTGACGTGAAGTAGGCTTAGTAACATTAAGATTATATTCTCGAATTATTAGTTCTCATCTTTTAGTGATTACACACTTAATTCGATAGTATTTGGAAGAAAAAATCAATATTCGAACTAAGATTGTGATTTTGGTATTTAAAAGTCAATTGTATGTTGCTACATCTAGAGTTAGAAATCTCAAAGGTCTAAAAATTTTGATCCGTGGTGACTCTAAAATTGTAATTCAATTACTATTGTAGTTTACTAAGTTCTTAAAAATTTGTAATATTAAATACTATGTACTAAATTTTTAATATAGTTTACCCACCTTAAATATTATTTTAATTGTAAATATATAATACCCAAAATCGTCCTCGACTATAGTGGTTTTTCTCAATTTCGTCCCAAACGACTTTGGTGACCTAATATCGTCCCAGACTTTTGTGTTTCGCTCAATTTAGTCCTCCATTTGTTATTCCGTCAAATTGGTGTTAAATTAAGGGACAATTCAGTAATGTCAATATTGATCTCTCTTTACTTTCAACTTGTGAAGTGCGAAATTTCTCTCTTTTGTACGAATTACACTAAGATTTACTCCCGGACCTGCAAATCAAATTTTATATTCACAGTTTTAGGAGTAATTCTGGAGTAATTCGTAAAAAAAATGGATTTCGCAGTTCACATGTCTATGAGTAAAGAGATGTCAATATTAAAATTACTGAATTGTCTATTTATTTAACACCAAATAGACAGAATAACAAATGAGGGACTAAATTGAGCAAAAACACAAAAACCTGAGACTAAATTGAGCGAAACACAAAAGTCTGGGACGATATTAGGTCACCAAAGTCGTTTAGGACGAAATTGAGAAAAACCACTATAGTCGAGGACGATTTTGGGTATTAACTCATAATTTTATCATAAGAATTCACACATAATAATTATTAAATAACAAAAGTTTTGTATATGAGTAAATCTCATATAGGGTATATTTTTATAACATATTTTCCGTGCATCGCACGGGACAAATACTAGTTGGTTTTAAAATCCTAAGGAGCCTATTATTTATTCTTGAACCCAAAGGCATTCCTTATAGCCTTGAACCCAACTAGTCAAGCCCATGCGTTTGTGTAAATATAAGTGCTACCATTTTTTGTAGGCCCCATAATATATATATTAGGAATGACAATGGGGCGGGGTGGGTGCGGGGGACATATCCCCCGTCCCGCACCCGCATTTCCAACCCACTCCCCGCACCCGCACCCGCACCCGCGCGGGTAATGAAAATCCTACCCCATACCCGCCCCCGCGGGAATTTTGTGGGTGCGGGTAATACCCAACCCGCAACTCTAATTATTTATATTACACTTAAATCTAATAAAAATCTTATACTACAATTGTAATTATCACATTAATTTTTTTATAAGTTTGAACATAACTCTAAAATTTAATAAGAGCCAATGAATTTAGTTCTTAATTGGAACTAAAATTGTGTTGATAGTATAAATTGTATTAAGTGTTTACTCATTATGTTATTTGTGTTGTTCCTATTCAAATTTCATAAACAAAAAACTAAGAAGTTTAATTCATTATGCATTTTCAATTATAAAATATACATAAACTTATATAATAAATGAATACTAATAACAATATATATAAGTGCGGGTGCGGGTGCGGGGCGGGGATACCTCCCCCCGCACCCGCCCCCATACCCGCGCGAGTATATAAATTTCAACTCATACCCGCACCTATTACCCAAACTGTGCGGGTATTTTAAAACTCGTAGAGGCGGGGATGCGGGGAACCCGTTGGGTGCGGGTAGAATTGCCATCCCTAATATATATGTGTGTGTGGGGGTTTCTTGACCCAAGAGATTTAGCCCAACCCAATCTTTGTGTAACCCTACTTGTTATTGTGTGTATGTATGCACTATAGAGATCCCTAGCTACCCTATGTAGAACCAACACTCCCTTCCGTCTCCCTCTCTCCCTCGGCTGAGCAGCAATGAAGGCGCTTGGTTTTCTTCCTCTTCTTGTGACGGCACCCAGCAACCAACACCAAGCAACCCCATCTTTCTCCTTCTCCTTATCTCTTTTCGTGATCAGTAGTGGTGGTGGAGGGCATCCTTGGCGAGACCGACAGCAAGGAAGAAGAGAAGCTTCCACAGCAATGTGAGGTAGAACGGAATCGGCAGCGGTGTTGTGTTGGCCTCTCCGATTGGCGAGCAGCTCCGGCGACCTTGGGTGGACGGCGGTGGAGAGCAGAACAGAGGTGGAAGGGGTGGTGACAGCTTGCGCGAAGTACAGAGTTCTTCGGCGGTTCTTTTCTCGTCGACGGCAGCGGAGCTTCGGCCTACAATGGCGGTGGCAATTGAGTGAAGCTACAGCGAGCGGGTCCTTCCCCAGCGACGACGACGTGACGGTGAGGCTCCGGCGACGTGGTGGCTCTAGTGTACCCGTGGGCAGTTGGATAGGGTGGTGGGGTACCCGCCGCACCACCCACGGCATGGCTGCATGAAGAAGATCGAAGAAGATGATGGTGAGCTTTGTTCGTTGTTGCTTGTTGTTATTAGATTAGAATAATTAGTTTGTTGTTAGGTCAAGTTAAAAAGTGGTGGATTAGTGTAGTGGTAAGGAGTGCTTAATGTTAGGGTGTTGGTTAGGGTTCAAGCCTCTCTTAGCTCATGTTAGTTTAATTAATAGTTTTACTATTAATTATTGCTTATTAGTGTTTAATGTTGTGATTAAGTTTTTGATATAATACCTAGCTTAGATGGTTAGACTTGTGGGTAATTTAGGGAAGAATTCGAGTTCAAATCTCCATATAAGCTTAATTAGTTTTGCTTGGTTTAAGTACATATGAGGTCCCTGTACTATAGTGTTTTGTTCAATTTAGTCCTCATACTTTTATTTTGTTCAATTTAGTCCCTGTACTTTCAAAAGTGGTGCAATTAAGGACAATAGTTAACGATGTTAATATTATCGTTAACTTAGGTTACGTGGCGCTGAAGATATTTATATTCCTACTCATATATTACTTTATAAATATTTAAAATTTATTATTTTTACCACCAATATATTAAATTAGTATGTCCAAAATAAATAATTACGATCATGTTCGTAATGAGATTTGGACAATTGTCCTTAGTTTTATCACTTTTTAAAGTAGAGGGACTAATAAATTGAACAGAATAAAGG